ATAAAACATCAATAATGACAGTGGTTCCTGCCAGGCGCTTAAGTGCCCAACATAGCGACGTGCAGGATAGCGGTTAAATCATGCCCGGAATTCATTAGCCACCCGTCCGTCATTGTCAAAGCATTAGGGGTTATTGAGCGCTGTAAAGGTGTCATGGCTATAGCGTCCACAACAATCCTGCTATTCCGCTTACATTTGCCGGAACCGGGTTATTAATACAGTCCGTACAATAAGATGAAAAAAATTAAGCTCGTTGCCAGGTATGCTTTGTTGAGCTGCCTTTCATTGTGCACCCATGCGCAGCAACTGTTTGCGCAACCAGGTTATGACCAATACGACACGTTGCAGATTGGCGGCATCAGGCAGGTGATCCATGTAAAAGGAGCGCGGAATGCACCGGTAATTCTATTCCTGCATGGCGGCCCTGGCAGCTCAAGAATGAAAGACGCAGAAAAATTTACCACTGAACTGCAACAGAAATTTACTGTAGTCCAATGGGATCAGCGGGAGACGGGCAAGACGCTCCAACTCAATCATACCAACAAGCCGATCACCCTTTCATTAATGGAACGGGACACTTATGAGCTGGTCAACTCCTTATTGAAGCGGTTTCATAAAGACAAATTATACCTCGCCGGCGAATCATGGGGAACCGTGCTGGGGTTTTATATGGCGGCCAAACATCCGGAACTGCTGCATGCCTACCTCGCCTTCAGCCCGGTAGTAGACCAGGTGGCCAGCGAGCAGATGGCCCTGAATATGGTAAAGAACGAAGCGGTGCAAGGCGGCGATCTCGCCGCGCAGCATGAGCTTGGAACGGTAAAAATTCCGTTCGAAAACGTTGAGCAGATTTACTATCTGCGGAAATGGCTATTCGTGCATGACGGAACGCCACTACCGGATAAGGATACCGCAATGATCAAAGCCTACATGCAATCCTGGACAGGCACCTGGATGAATACCTGGAATGCAGCCATGCAACGTAACCTTTTTACCACGCTTC